GGAATTTATTTTTCACAAGTCTAAATTGACACATTCTCTTAAATAAAATGATAAGGCCTCACCATGGAGGCATTCTGAAAATAATAATGATTTATCCGTGTTACTAATATTTCTGCTTTGGCACTTTTTCCAAAATAATAAGACATATTTATCGATTGGAATATCGGAATTCTGTACATCGAACATTGCACACTGAAATTTAACGGTAGTAACAGTCGTAATTTCACTTTTCTCTGTAGACCTTTTTGTTTGTGATTGTGTTTGGATTTCACATTTAACATTACACAAAAATACAAAACTAATACTTTGCACTCATATTTCTAAAGCGTTTATATTAAATTACTGAAACACATTTCTTTAGAGGCATCAATCCCGATATTGAATCACTTTGCACATATCGTAACACTGAAAAATTTGCAAAATAAAGCACTGAACACACTTTTCCCAATGAATTTACAGCACTAAAGCACAAAATTAAAGCATCAAACCTGAATATCCGCAAATATAATTTTCATTATAAACACTCTTAGAATCTTTCAGAAGATGAGCACACTTTTCAGTATGTACAAACACACAAAACTGATGGCACGCTTAACACATTACTAGTTTTTTCACCTTTCACTCGTAAAATCAAACATCACATCGTCTAACCAGTGAAAAAGTAAACGTAACAATAGAAGACTCTAGCAAACGTCATCACTACGACCTTGACATAATTTCATTCAGCAGATAAGCTCACAGTAATCATTCCTTTCTAACTTTTTTTACACAATCACTGGAAATTGTTGAACTCCAATTGGGTAACCATTCACACTGTAATCATAGCAGACTTCGAGTATGTAATAATTTTGATGCATAGTTGTGAGGGCAAAGTGGCAAGACAAGATGAATATGACGAAACTGGATTCCGACAAATCACCAACCTTTATCTTCCAATTAATTTGGCAGACACTTATTCAATCATAATTAAATATGATAAATTTCTATGCAGAATAGTTTTTGAAAGAAATGACCTAGGCATTTAAGAAGTAAAGCAGCACGAAGATATCAGCAAAGCAGAAACTAGCAAAAGAATGACGCAATTAATTCACCAGCAATATTTATACTACGTCTGATGTATAAGTACAGCTAATCTGTCATTAGTTAACTTTAGTTTTAGTTGCCCTTTTTAAGTAGCATTATATAAACAAGCAAGGATCTCGAATTTGGGAGAACAGATGAATTTAGGGAGGAGCACCAAATCTAGAATGTTAATTTTGAGGCCACCTATTTTCTTATATCTTAGATATATAGAGTCAAAAGTCTTTAATCCGGATGTCCATAATACAGAATGATCTATAATCCGGACCTCAAAGCTACAAACTTTCTGTGCATGAATAAATGCATAATACGTTTACCCATGCGCGTTTAATGTATAACGGACGGTATAAGCTAAGCTAAAATTATCTAATTATCTATTTCAGTTAATGTTGCAGATTGCGTTGTTCCTTAATTTTCTAATTGGATCCGGCTTATTAATTTTTGCAGACTGTTAGAGCAATTTTATAAAATTAAGCTTGAATTTTCAGTTATGTCAAAAAGAATTTCCGATTCTGGAGCTGCCAAAGGATCTACAAAGCAAAAGCATGTTTCGATGTCCATCAAACAAAAAGTGGAATTGCTGCAAAAAATGGATAAAGGCATATCCTTTGATTCTCTAATCATTCCGAAATATGTTTATCAATTTCACACTGCTCTGCGGGGGGGGGGGGAGAACGACGCGACGCGCAATGAACTGAAAGTTGATCTGTCAGCACTATCCTTATCTTCAGGGCAGAAGTTTTTATTTCATTCGGCTTATAATTTCTTACTAAATGTAGTATTTCATCTCGATGTACTCCATCTTTGATATGATTTAAATCAAATTCATCGTCATTATAAATATCACTCACGAATACACATCAAATAGTTTTCTGGTTGCAATTTTCTAATTTCGACTATGCGTAATGTATGCTTTATGCATGCGCGCGTTGAAAGAAATGTTTAATAAAGTAAACAAATAAATATTAAGCTTTTTTTTTGTAAATTTTGATACCCTTTAGATCATAATTGCTCTTTATTTCATAAATTACGGTTTCATATTTTTAATTTTATAATTTCTGCATGCCGTCTTCCCAGAGTTAAATTGTTGATCTATAATCCAGAAAAACCGACAATCCGGAATCGCCGCAGTCCCGACGAGTCCAGATTAAAGACTTTTGACTGTATATATAAACTTAATGCATCTAAAGTTAAAAGTAAATTGGAGTCAAAGCAAGGCGATTCCTCAACAATATTAATACTTGCATACTTGTTAAACATAAAATCAAAACATTTCAAAATAAAAATCGTCATGGTAGTAAAAACCCGAAAACTAAAAATGCAAAAAGGGAAAATATATAAAAGATAATAAAAATATAAAAATTAATCCCCTTTTGTTGAAACTTTAATTCAGAACTCATCAGGAGAAAATGAATTAAAGCTTCATAAAAGTTTATTAATACACTTTGGAAACGTTTTTCGCTCTCCCGATAAATTTGAGATCAAAAACCAAAAAAGAAACAAATTTATATGGCATAAAAACTTATATGTACCCGGAATTTCCCTACATGCTTTTGAAACACTTGGAAAAAGGATAAAACATAACAGTGTTTCAAATTGACTACAAAAAACTATAACATTACATATTGTAAAATGACCAACTGGAAAAAACCAAATTGGTCTAAAAATATTATATGCAAATCTGAAATTCAAACATAAAGATAGATCATAATATATTTTAAACCAAATAGTCATTTAAACAGTATTCTAAAAATGTGTTGTCCCTGATTATGTTTAAATAAACTTGGTTAAAAAATTGGCCATCTGAAGAATTACGTAAATTTTTGTTTGAAGAACCTCGTATGATTTCAGTAAGTTTGCGCTTTTCAATTTTGTATTTCATAGGTTCTTTCAATTTTTTAAATTAGACTTCCAGTTTTTTCCAAAATAGGCTCTGCTTTGACTTTATTATTTATGCAATCTTCTATGAAACGTTGTTTTCTTGGAATTAATAGTTTAGTTAAACATAATAGGGACCGCCCATTTTTAGAATACTGTTTAAAGTCTATTTGGTTTAAAGCATACATTACAAAGTCTTTAATCCGGACTCGTCGGGACTTCAGCGATTCCGGATTATAGACCATGAATTTAAATCTGGTAAGATGGCATGAATAAATTATAAAATTGAAAATACGAAACCGTAATTTATGAAATAAAGAGCAAGTATGATCTAAAGGGTATCAAAATTTACAAAAAAACAAGACAAAAAAGCTTAATATTTGTTTACTTTATGAAACATTTCTTTCAATGCAAGTTGTTTAAGTTGCTTCGTTTTATGTGCTAATACTTTCTCTTTAATTCTATAAACAGATATAATTTCTTGTTCATTTACAAAGTTCTGCTCCTCAAGTTCTGTAATTGCTGTGCCGAGAATAACGACTAACTTCTCAATCGATTTTTTTTTTTTTTCATTAACCTCTCTATCATATTCTTCATGCCGCTATCCATTTTTTGCAGCAATTCCACTTTTTGTTTGATGGATATCGAAACATGCTTTCGCTTTGTAGATCCTTTGGCAGCTCCAGAATTGGAGCCTCTTTTTGACATAATCGAAAGTTCTAGCTTACTTTTTATAAAATTGCTCTAACAGTCTGCAAAAAATAATAAGCCGGACCCAATTAGAAGATTAAGGAACAACGCAATCTGCAACATTAACTGAAATAGATAATTTTAGCCTAGCTTATACCGTCCGTTATACATTAAACGCACATGTGTAAAGGTATTATGCACATGCGTAAACGCGTATGTGTAAAGGTATTATGCGCATGCGTAAATGCATATGCACATGCGTAAACGCTATGCATGCAGAAAAAGTTTGTAGCTTTGAGGTCCGGATTATGGACGTCCGGACTAAACACTTTGTACTGTACTTACATTGTGATCTATCTTTTTATTTAAATTTTGGATTTATATAATATGGTTTTAGACCCCCCTTTTTTTTATTTGAACAGTCATTTTACAACATGTAATGTTTTGGTTTTTTGTAGTCAATTTGAAACAATGTTATGTTTTATTCTTTTTCCCAAGTGTTTCGAAAGCGTGTAGGGAAAATCCAGGTACACATGAGTTTTTATGTCATATAAATTTGTTTCTTTTTTTGGTTTTTGATCTCAAATTTACTGGGAGAACGAAACATGTTTTCGAAGCTTATTAATCAAATTTTATGAAGCTTTAATTCATTTTCCCCAGATGAGTTCTGAATTAAAGTTTCAACAGAGGGAGATTATCTTTTTATTATCTTGTATATATTTTCTCTTTTTGCATTTTTAGTTTTCGAATTTGTACTACTATGACCATTTTTATTTTGAAATGTTTTGATTTTATGTTTAACCCCTTTACAAGGATGCAATTATTAATATCGTTGAGGAATCTCCTTGCTTTGACTCCAAGTTACTTTTAACTTTAAATGCTTTATTTTACTTCAATCCTGCAGCTATAGCACATGATGGGTTTAACAAATTTGCTTTTTAATTTTGCCTCTCATTAAGTTTCTTTATGTATCTATATAAAAACGTTGACATGTAACCTTTAATTTATAATTTTAATTTTTGGCACATATGAATATTATAAACTTGTGATTTCATAGTCATTTTTTTATTTATTTATTTATTTATTTATTTTTGTGCATGTGATTTCATATTAATACTAAGTTTCACTGTCAGAAGGCAATGGTCTCCATGCAATTTTCTGAAAAAGGCTGAGTCTGGCTGGATAGTTAATGGTTAAGATATAGACAATGCTGGACAATACACAACTTTTCTTATCTGAAAATATTTTTAGCAGGGAGGGAGTTAAAAAATAAAAGTTGGAAGGATTAAATGAGAGTGAAACAGTACATGATGTCAATATGTACAACATGTATAATGTGTAATGGGTCTTACATTATCTGCATATGTTAACTGCAAGGCAAAATCTTTTTCAGGTATATCCAGAATGCTGCAGCTTCTGATAGTGTATGACATAGCTTTGAATTCAAAAGGGCTACCAACAGGATAGGTACTAGAACATCCTGAAAAAGAAAAGAAAATTGTGAGAATTTTAAGGCAAGTTTAAAAACATAAGTTACTTATAAATGTAATGAAATTTACCTGACACAACTAAACTGCTAGATGTTTCTCCTTACCGATGGAAAATTCAAAAGTGCAATTGATTCCAAATCAGACTACTCAATGATACACAAGGGGAACATATACTTCCATTAAAAAACAATCAGTCTGTTCCTCCATATCATAGCACACAGCTTTCTTTTTTTAAAAAAAGGGGTTTAAAATTTTAAATAATGACTAATTTACCTTCCTAAATAACTTTTACAAAATGTTAAAAAGAATTAGATCTATTTGATTTTTAAAGTTATAAAATTTTTCGATTTTAAAAACTCATTTTCTTAAATTTACAAAAATTCATGGTTTCCTGAACCGAGAAAACATCATGCGAATGTTGCAGTACAGTTACATATTGTTAAATTTCCTTGCAGTGTTTAGTTTGTTTTGCTGTACATGTTACCAAAAATATCTAAAATCTTTAAAAAAAAAAAAAAAAAAAAAAAAAATTCCACTGAAGAAAATGGATAAAAGTAAAAGCTGAATGCTACACGAAAGAAATTATTACGAGCAATGTTTAACCTAAAAACTATTTTGCTGTATCATATACTGTTTGTACCGCAATGTTTCACTACTTAAGTGCCTCCAATTTATAATAAAATATCACCAGAAAAGACAGATGAACTATGAACAAAGAAAACAGAGAAGTTATGAAACCACTGTCTGGAAAAATATATTTTAAACGCTAGAAAACAGATCATTTAAATAAGTGGCATTTTATATTATTTATTGAAAATCAGCAAGTAACATTATTTCAACAAGTAGCATTTTATAATGTTTATAGAAAATTTGAAAGTAATATTTTTCAGTTATTAATAATAAAAGGAATTTAATTTACTAAAATATTAACTTATTTACTGGTACAAAACCACAACAGAAAGCATCATATTTACTCCTGCATTTCCTTTGCCTTTTGTTTACTAATTTTTCAACATTAACAAGAGAATCTACTTTACCATAATATCAAAATTATGACATTTTTTAGCAAAAAACATTCATATTGGAAGCGGAAACACACAGTTTTTCAAAGAAAGAATGGGAAAGAAATTACAATGCAGATACTTGCAAGCTTCAATATCCTGTTACAACATTACATAATTTAGCACTTCCACAAGTTCTTAATATTAAATAAGCTTTTGTATTTCTTCTTCAGTCAGTACTTTCTTCCATTTCGGCATAATGCTATAAAACAAAACTCTTACAAAATAAAAATCTTACAAAAAATACGGAATATTACAAAGCAGCGCTGGTCCCCATTTAGAATTTACAAATGCAGTCTTCTGAAGCTGCAAGGATGAGAAGGGAAAGATGAGGAAAACCTAATCCTTAATATGAAGGTCTTTGAAAATATAAGTGGTAGAGTGTCCAGGGATATCAAACTTGAAAGTTCACCTCAAACTTTCAGTTTGGAAAATGGGGCAAAGATTCATGACTAGTAAAGTGGACATCCCTTTTCTTTTAAATAGGGAATACTATGGCCAAGATAATGGCCACACTGGGTCATATTGGCCCAAAAGGAGACAATGCAGCAACACAAATTTACACATAAAGATAAACACATATCATAGAGTACAGGGTACTTGCTTATTTACTACAAGTTTTAAGATCCAAGTATAATGTGATATGTCTGTTACAAGATTATACAAATTTTCACAGTATTTTTTTAATAAAAATCATATTTTATGGAAGATACTTTTTCATTTAATAAAATTTTCTCATGAAGAGAAAAGCACTCATATTTTCTTAGCATCTGCAACAACCACATATAGGATGCAGATAACTTTAGTGCTACATGGAAGTATTTCTTTAACACTTGAAGTGACAGAGCAGTCATTTTGACTGTTTTCGGCATTTCACTGTGGATTCCTAAAAAATCCCTTTATTTTAAGAAGTCGCATATTTTTGTATTTTCCCAAAAAAATTCGAAAATTATTGGTACCAAATATGAATCGAAGAAAATTAACAAAGATATTAGTTATACCTAAAAGCACCACAAGCAGTCATATTGACTTCTAGTAATACTGGGTAGATTTATCTTGTTATTTCGCTCAAAGAAAACACCATTTCTTGGAAAAAGATCTGGCCTACACATTCCTTTGCATTCTCTGTTTATTTACATAGAAAATACTTCCCCTCTTCCCCGCCTTCCTGTCAACAGCACCCCTCCTTGGCAAAATGTTATAGCCATTAGTTTACAGTAGTTGAGTCAGTTTATGTTTTGTGGCATTTCATTCTTTCAAGTGCACTGTAATGGCAGCTCGGAGCCCGCTACATCCGAGTCCAAGAGAAAATGTACAAATTTAACAGGAATTATCTGAAAATGAATCCGATGTTGAAGAACATAATACTGATGATGAGATGGAATACGAGCCTCCACAAAACTTTGAGGGAAATGATAGTTCTAGTGATTCTGAAAGAGAGTACAGAGGAGCAATTGTTGGGCCAAGATTCTCAGCCCATCGATATTTCCGCAGCAAACATTTCGTCATCAATAATTGCGGCGTCCACATCAGCTGAAATAGGTAAGAAATATTTTTGTTTATGTATTGTTATTTATTTATTTTTTTAATATTTTTTTGATAATTTCTTATGTATTTGAAATTTTTTAAAACATAATGAATCATTTATTGTCAAAAACACAGATATACTTTTTTTTTTTTTTTAGGTTTTACTAATGTACAAGGTACAGGATCAAAGAGGATTTACCTAATTCAAAATATGCATGGGGAAGAAGTCTTTTCCAAAACCACGAAGAAGGTTCTATATGTGTCTCGAAAAATGGAACCTCATGGACTGTGACATCTCCTTCCCAAACTACAATTGGGAAATATGGAGCTCAAAATGTGCTAAAAGAAATGCCAGGTCCAAAGTTTCATGCAAAAAGAAATGTCGGAGACAATGTGCCAAGTGCTTGGAGGTTATTTGAGGATGAATCGATGTTATGCCATATTAAAAAGTGCACAGAAACAGAGGCAGTTTTGAATAATGAAGAAAATTGGAGAGCGATACCTTTAGAGGGGCTTGGTGTTTTTATTGCTATCATGTATGCAAGAGGAGTATATGGTTGCAATGATATGGATTATGATTTTTTGTAGAATAATAAACAGGGGTCCTTCTTTTTTTCAAGATAAAATATCTCGCAATTGTTTTTGAGATATTATGAAATATCCAAGATTTGACTCAAAGTCAACTAGGACACAGCATTTAGAAAGTGATAAGTTTGCACTTTTTTCAGATATTTGGAATTTATGCAGAATTGTGTGATTTCCTATAAGCCAGGAGAAAATTTAGTTGCAGATGAGCAGTTATTTCCATCCAAAGCCAAGTGTAAGTTTATTTAGCATATGCTGAATAAACCAGACAAATTCAGTATCAAATTTTGGATGGTAGTAGATGTAGACACGAAGTTTATGTGCAATGCTTTTCCATATCTTAGAAAAGATACATTGAGAAGTGAAACTGAAAGTCTTTCTGAAAATATAGTGATGCGTCTTCTAAGCCGTTATCTGAATTCAGGTAGAAATTTTACTGTGGACAATTATTTTTCCTCACTATCATTAACTAAAAAACTTAGAATGAAAAGCACAAGTTTTGTGGGTACAGTAAGAAGACATCGAAAAAAATTTCTGCATGAGGTAAGGAAATCAAAAACTGGGCTGTTTGAAACAGTTTTGCTAAAGAATGGTGAAACTACACTGACAGTCTATCAGGGAAAAAGGAATAAAAATGTCCTACTACTTAGTACCTTAAATCCAAATGTAAATGTAGACTCACAAAATAAGAAGAAACTTTCAGAAACAGTAGAGTTCTACAACAAAACCAAATGTGGAGTTGATATCCTTGACCAGATGATGCATAAATATTCTGTTTGAGCTGCTTCCCGTAGATGGTCTGTTCATGTTTTGTATAATATACTAGATTTAGCAGGAACGAATGCCTACCTTATCTACCATAAACTGAGTGATAAAAATATTACAAGGCACAGCTTCCTATTTCAATTAGCAGAGGGCTTAAGAGAGCTTCATTTAAACAAAAGAAAAAGCACAACATTTCCCCAGGAAATTTCAACTCTAACAATAGACTCAAAGAAAAGACATCAGTGCCATATTGGACTTTGTAACAAGAACAAAACAAGTGAGATGTGTAAAAAGTGTTCATATTATGTGTGTGGAAAATGCACTTCCAGTATTGAAAAAGTTGTGCTGTGTAAAAATTGCAAAAAGCTATAAAATGTGTTTTATTAATGGTATGTTGAAATTTATAATAAAATATTTATTTATTATTAAAAATAATCTGCTATTTAAGGAAGCTCTTAAAGAACTATAATTAACATTCTTAAAAGGATTATAAAGCATTTACATTTTGATATATACATTTAATTCACTGAGCAGTCACTTTGACTGCCATTGGCGCTTCTAGGTAGGGAGAAAGCTCGGCGCTTCATGTGTTAAGCATATAAACATTCACATTTTTCACATGTCGGCATATTACAAATTAATGAAAGAATTTGCCTAAAATATTATGGAAATTAGTTCTTTAAGACTGCTTAAAATCAGATCATAGTTGGACTAAACACAATAAATGCTTAAAGCTCACACCAATTGCATTACTTACAACAGCTTGCATTATTAGTCTTACACCTGAAGAAAATAAGTAAAAAGGAAACAAAAGGAATTTAAGTTTTATTTAATTTTAGTGTAAAACTTAATTAAAAATAAAATTTGGGCAAAATTTTGAAATCTAGTTTTTAAATCCACTGTATTTTTAAGATTTCTATTAAATATTTTGCATTAATTTTCAAAAATATATAGATGTAACACAGAGAGTTAAAATTTTGAAACTGACTATTTTTAAATATTGTAAATATGTTCGAAACAACTGTACCTTCCTCTGTAGCTTTCTTGTACTTTAACAATCTATGCTTAGCTCGAAGGTCTAAAACACTTCCAGCAACATACTTCCCAGCAAATTCCTTAATTTTCAGAAGGCTTAAAAATTGTGGTGGCTCAAAAAAATCTTCGGAATACATATCAAGCCATACTAACAATACTTTCTCGAGTGTTCTGAAAAGAGAATTAGAATAAATTCACACACAAAGGCAGAATAGGAATACTACTATCAGACAACACATAAAAAGAAAACTTAAATGTGATCAATGGTCAACTTGTTTGTTCTTACAAAAACTAAGAATTTTGGGATAATCTAACCAACATTTTCCATGTAATTTCTTGCTAATTCTGAAAAATCAATATGCTTTTAAACTATTTTAAAATAAAGCAACTTCTCCAATTGAAGAGTAAAGAAGTAAAGAAATCTCCAGTGGAAACAATAGTAAAACTGCTAGATATGCATGAGTGAGGATATCAAACTGCTAGAAGAAATGCTGCAGGATCTTAAAAACAGATTGTTGTCTTTACTAAAGAAGTTACTGCACAGAACTGGCACGGCAAATGTCAATTTCTACAAGAATAGGTCACTAAAATGCCAAAGAAGCAAAGCTTCATGCATATCATGTTATAATCCATTTCTATGATTGGCATTGTCCAGTTACTTGCTTGTTGATCATGCAAGCAGTCTGATATCAGAACTGTAATGGTTCAAATAGATGTTTCATTATTCTCTCATACACACTTAAAAATTTATTTCTTGAAGTTCCAGGTTCTTCAGGTGCAGTCCAGCTACAAATTAATTAAGAAATCAATCTTTTTTACACATGCTACAGCTAAGGTTCAATATATTCCTTTATGACCTCAAAGTTGTTAAGATACAAAGAAGCCCTGCACTCCAACATTATCTCCGATACTGCACGACTACTAGATTTTTCAATGATACGCCATCATTAATATTTATGCAAAGTGCATAAATGACTGTGAAACCAACAGTAGACACCAAAGTGTTGGATGCCCATGTATCATCAAAGGAAAAGGATATCAGTGACTGTTCCGCTCGGTACAGCAAAACTGGCACCAGACAATCACTCAGCAGACAGCCCAATACAGTGCAGGTGCAAGTGGAAGTGTTTCAGAACACACAGTTCAGCAGACATTGTTGGATATGGGACTGCCCAGCAGACGTCCCACTTGTGTGTCTCTGCTGACCAAGCATCATTGTCAGCTATGCCTACAGTGGGCACAGGTATATTGAGACTGGACCATGGATGTAAGTGGAAGACAGTTGCCTAGTTGGATGAATCATTTCTCATTCATCACATCAATGGTCATGTCGGGGTACACCGTCTTCCAGGCAAACAGTTGCTCCCCCCACCAGCAGCAGGTCATACACAGGCTGCTGATGGTGGTATTATATTATACTTTGGTGTACATTCCCATGGGCGGTTCTGGGACTCTTAGTTGTGGTAGGACAGACTGAGAAAGCTGCAGACTATCTGAAGATAACTTCTGCACCCTTATGTGGCATTTGTCTTTCCAAACAGAAATGAAATCTTCCAGCAGGACAACGTCCCATGTCACAAGGCTGAAAATGTGCTGGAGTAGTTCGAGGAGGATAAGGATGAATTCAAATTAATGCCCTGGCCACCTAACTCACCGGATCTTAACTCAATAGAGCACACTTGGGATGTCATGAAGTTACAGCTCACAGCTCAAACACCATCATGTCAGAATATCTCGACTTTGTATGACCTCTGCACAATGCGTTAATGAATAGACAGTTGTAGCATCCTCTATGTTTCCTCTTCATCTCATTTTTGTCCTGGCTACTTAAGTGGATCTCAACCCCACAGAACATGTAACCTCTACAAATGATATGTAATCATTTTATTTCTATCACTTTATGTAAAAGTAATAAATAATTTTCGTTAAAATATAGTAGTGAAAAGTTATTCTTAAACACATAAGTAGCGTTTTTGTGATATAACAACCATTACATTTATTGGTGACCCGAGTTAACAATGATAAATATTATGGCAAATAGTGAGAAGACAAAAAACTAGTCAAATGGTGCTAATTTTTTAGAGGGTAGGAGTAAAAATTCCTCCCTTTCAGAGAGATAAGCCAGGAATTGGTTTTATCAGATAGAAGTACAATTTAAAACTTTGTGTTATAACTAATGAAACTACCAAAGTTAGCCACACTGTCTCACAAATAGAAGCTAAATATATAGAAACTATTTGGGGCATAATAACTGATAAGTCAAAAAATAAATATTCATCAGCAAAAGAGCATTTATTGAATGTATTCAAAGTAAAAACAAACAAATCAGAAGCCTTTTCATAGGCACTGGAAATGGGAGACATGAACCAAGACATCTATTACAAAAAATCAAACCTTTGGCAACCAATGATACTTCAAACATAGTATTGAAAAATTGCCGCACAATATTAAACATATACTGGTGGTTAGTGATGAAAGTATTGATAAATTAGCTAACCATAGCTCATAAGATTTTTGACATGTTTTCATAAATGAGGTACTCACATTCATGTATCCACATTTATGAGGCTCATTCAACTTAAGAATTTGAGTGCATCGCAAATTACCATTTCACAGTTACTTGGAAAAGATATTTCGTTGGAATGGCAGATTGTAGAGCTCCATTTCCATTACAAGCCAAATGGTTGACAGTGGTGTCGATGTAAGTCTAATTCCAGCCATGTACAATGAAAAATAAGCGGCAATTTTAAACTTTATGCTGCAAATTGTACTGAAACCCCATGATTCGGACACAAAATTTCAACTCTTGATTTGGGTCTTCGCCATAATTTTCAGTGGCCATTTATCATAGGCAAAATCACTAAGGATATACTGGGTGCAGATTTCCTTAACTGGTTTAACTTATTAATTCATATTAAAAACAAAAACTAAATTAACTAATGGTGTAACTAAACTGAGCATTGCTGGTGCAATTACATCATCAGCCGATGAAATAAGAACCTTAAACAAAAATGATAAATTTTATGACATTCTGACACAATTTTTGGAATTAACAAAACCTAGTTTACTGATTTCTAAAACAAACACAATGCTGAGCATTGCACAGCTACTAATGGCAAACCAGTTTATTCAAAAGCAAGATGGTTAGATCCTAAAAGATTAGAAATAGCCAAACAAGAATGCCTTATGCTTGAAAATGGTATTATCAGACCTTCAAAATCACGATGGGCAAGCCCACTTCATTTAGTTAAGAAATCAGATGGCACTCGGAGACCATGCAGAGATTATCACCGCTTAAATGATATCTCACACTACCAGATCGCTATCCTTTACCCAGAATTGGACTTCCAACCCATTTTGAAAGGCAAGAAGATATTTTCTAAACTTGATTTACTTAAAACCTATTACCAGATTCGATTAGCAGAAGAAGATAAACAAAAAAACAGTGACAACACCACCATTTGCACTTTTTGAATTTAATGTAATGAGTTTTGGCTTAAGGAATGGCCCCTCCACTTTTCAAAGATTTATACAATTTTCAGAGGACTATACATTTTAGTATTTGGATGGCATCCTAATAGGGTCAGAAACTGAGAAACAGCATAGAAAACATCTTACAGAAATATTTCATAGAACTCAACACTATGGTTTACGCATCAACGAATCAGAATCAAGCATTGGAGTGAACAAAATAAAATTTCTAGGATATTTGATAACACCAAATGGCTCAAAACTTTTTCCGGAAAAAGCACAAGCTATAACAAATTAAAAATTTCCTAAAACTATTCATGAACTTCGTTAATTTTTAGGAATGATTTACTTTTATAGAAGATACTTAAAAGATGAAGCTAACAGCCAAGCTTCTCTTAAATGAATATTTAAATATTTAAAAGATTAAAAAAAAAAATCGAAGGGAATCTCCATGTACAGAAGCAAAGAAGTCTTTGCAAAATGCAAAGATTTAGCCATTGCTGTTTCATTAACCTTTCTTAATCCATTAGCTTTATGTACAGATACCTCTAATTTTGCAATTGGATATGTTCTACAGCAATATGAAGACAATGGAAACCAATAGCATTCTATTCCAAAAAGTTCAGTGACACTCCAGAAGCTTATAGCAAATTTGATCGAGAACTTTTATATATATATATAATAATTTCTTTATTAAAGAAATATTGATTATATTATCTCCTAATATAAATTTAGTAGAAGTATCAAAAAAGGCTATATATATGTGTGTGGGTTCTTTTGTTTGGCAATCACAATACATGTTCAACAGGGTTCATAGCCACATTTTAGTTAAAAAAATAAGCACCTATAAGCACTTTTCAAGCACATTTTAAGAAAAAAAAATAAGCACCCGTTTAATTGCATTATACACAACTGCATAACCTTAAAAATTAGACTCGTAATTTAAAATATGAGAAATGCAGTATTTATTAAGAGAGAATAAGCATTACCTCAACCATGGAAAATAATTACTTTTTTTTTAAATTTTGAATAACAGTTCAATTTACAGAACTAGTTTACAATGAGAGAAAAAAAACTATGCAGAACTAAACTATATTACAAGGTTTAATGATGAAATTTCAGTTCAAAATAGAGGAAATAAATAATAATAAGGCATATTTATTCTATTCGCTTGGAACTTAATAATAAATACAATTTATTTTTCCACTCTCATTGATATTTAACTAATTTAAATCTAAATTCAGAACATTTTCTAAATTTTCATCGTATATCAGTTTTCCCTTAATTCCTTCGAGCCGGGTAGCGAAAACGCGCGCTTATCGCTGAGGCCGGCAGTGCCTTACGCGAGCGTCTCTCCAGGGTCGGGGGCTTTTTTGCTACTAAGCCTAAATCCATGAAATTTCCGAAGTATCAACGCATTGTTTAATAATGCTCTATAGAGTATTTAAACGGCTTATGCTTTATAAATATTTTTATATATATACTTTAATTACCTTATTTCTTGTTTAAATGCATATTTTACACATTTTATTTTAATTACTCACCATTTTATGAATTTTAACATTATACATCTGAAAACTAAATATATTACTTAAAATTCTCTTTTCGTATGAAAAATTTGAAAACAGGGATCTACACACAGTCCTACGTTACATTCCTTGCACTCGTAATAACTCATTTGCCGTTTTTGGAGGATTTTT